CTATCTTCTTCTAAGGAACCGGGCCTGGAAGATCGCAGTAGTTAGGGTTTAAGCAGCTTAGCCTTAACCCCTTTGCGATAGGTCTTTAAAAGAAACTAAAAGCAGTCATGCCTTAGCAAGGGGTAACCGAAATAGAAAACAAACTAGGACTATTTTTTGAGGTCCTATTTACCTATTTCCCGACATGACTAGTTGTTTCTATTCCCTTTACCTATCAAGTTTCGCGCTTCGAGACTGACACTTAACTAGACAGTTAATTTTCTTATTAATAGGCAACGACCGTCTCCAGCAGATTGAGAGGTCACGAAATTTTATGACGCTATTAAATTCTGCTCAACTCCTGATCTTCGCCCCGTTCAAATTTCCCTTTTTCGTTAAATTCCGCCAATATGAAGTCTAATATTCCGTCCATATTCATCAGTTGCCTGAGCATCAGAAGTTCATATTGGTAGACTTGATTCTTTTGATCTCATTAAAACAAATACGTGTTGTTTTGATTTACTATTCCTTTAATCACTTTCAACACAATATCATATCCATTTACAGTCAGCAAACAAGAATTAAATTTTTGAACACCATTTTCGTAATACAGTTGGGCGGAGGAATAGACATTTAAGCAACCAAGAAGGCAGTTTTGCGAAAAAAGTGCTGAACTGTAGGTTTATGAATTTAACCATTCCAACCACACACCATCGATAAACAAGCCTTCAGGCTACTCGTTCCTGTATCAGTGTAATGGTTGTAACGATTGCCATGGCCAACGTAACCGTCATTCCAATGACAGCCAACAGCGGTGAGTAGTTCGAATCCAATGTGGCGAAGTAATAGGCAATTGCAGCCAAACCGAGGATGCCACCAAGCCAAGTCAACACAACGGCAGCTGCCTTGGCACCCGACCTTACGCATCCGGCAATGGCAACTGGGAAAGCGATGCAGTTTACCACGATGGCACCAACGAGCAGGCCTCCCACGGGTCTATAGGACTCCGTAAATGTTCCATTCCAGCAGCAGTCTAGTATGGTGCCACAATTCCAATTTGAGAGCACTATGCTAGGAATGAGGCCGAGCAAGGAGAGGCAGAGACCAAACACAAGGCCAAGTGTGCCTTTGATTGACAGAGCCAGGGCGAAGATACTCCCACTGACAGCCAACATGGGACAATAGACTGTATCCAAGTGGCTAAAGTAATATTTCATTGCCAGGATAGCGAGGATGCCACCAATCCAAGTTAGTATCAGGGCGATTGGCGTAGCCCACCACACTACGCATCCAACAAGGGCAACTGCGATGGCGATGATGTTTATCACTTTGGCACTAACAAGGAGGCCTCCCACAGTCTGATATGACTCTGCAGACGTCTCATTTAGGCAGGAGCCTAAAATGGTGCCACAACTCCAATTTGAGAGGCTTACGCTATAAATGAGAAAGATAAGGGAGAGGCCAAGACCAATAGTGAGTTGAACTGTGGCCATGAGCCTCGCCTGTGTTCTGCGAGATCCTCTACCACGTTGCGGCATTTGTGGTCTCCGTAAGTCTCGTCTGTTATTAAATTGTCAGAAGTATCTGTAATAATTATTACTATTTAACATCCCCTCCCTGAATTCACCCTCCTGATC